TATTCATGAATGCTAATGGTTCATGAATTTTATTCATTCATGAACATTCCTGAAAAATTCGTCAAATTATTCATGAATAGTTCATGAAGATCCTATGAACTTATTATTGGACATTCTTGAAATGATGAATCTTCATGAATTATTCATGAAAAAAAATATTCATGAATATTCATCAATTTTCTTTCATGAATAAAAATTCATGATTTGAAAATGTCCAATAATAAGTTCATAGGATCTTCATGAACATTTCATGAACATTTCATGAATTAAATTCATGAAAAATTCAAGGAAATTCATGAATTATTCATGATCGTCTCGCAGGGGATATGCCGAAAATGACTGCCCCATACTTTTTAGCAGCTCCCCTCCCCAAGGGACATAACTTTGTCAAAAATGACTCAGTTGTACCCAAAACAGAACTTGACCAAGATATTTTTATGATAAATCTGTAGACTGAATGCAATTTCAATATGTGCAATCTCTGTAAAGGAACAGAATGGAAACTGCAAATAATTGGAATTTTTGTAAGTCCAAGGGGCATAACTCTGTCGAAAATGGTTTGATCATATCCAAAACAGAACTTGACCTAGATATTCTTAGGACATTAATCTGTATACCAAATTTCATTTCAATATGTGCAAGTACCTCAGCATTTCTTGGTAAATGGCTTTAATATAATAGACACTATAATTGTAGCAACTAGTGTAGAACTATTTTGAGGAGTGTGAAGCAATTAATGTGGACAGCATTTTGTCAGTATCTGGTACACAGAGTACTAACCAGACACCACCTTACAAACCATACAGAGCAAACTCTGTACCAGAGCAAACCCTGAGTTCTCTTTGTGTTCACTCTGGGTCCACTGTTTAAAAGTCTGTGTGTGATTTGGGTGCATCAGGGATTCACAGAGTTTCGCTTGGGGTCAGCTGGCTTGGGTATGCCTACAAAGTGTTCAACTTTGCATTTGCTTTCACTGTAGCATGAAGTGAACCTCACTTTATCTTTAACTGTGTGTTGCCCCTTACATATTCCCAATATACGATATATTTGAAATGGTTCATTGTTCTTTCCTGTCTATTGAAAGCACATGATGCCCCTGTATGGCAGCTTATGGCAAAGATTGAAGCTTCTCAAATGCAGGTCAACCTCCAAGGTCAAGGTCAAAATTGTTGGCATATAAACTAAGGTCTTTTTACAAGGAATACACCTGTGAAATATGAAAGCCCTAGTACTATCTGTCAAAAAGTTACTGCCAAGCTTAAAAGTTTTTTACGAAGTGAGTCAAACTGTACGGTGAAGGTCAAAAATATTTATATCAACTGAAAGGTCTTGTCTCAATGAATACACATGTGAAGTATGAAAGCCCTGATACCAACTGTACAAAAGTAAGGTCAAGGTTAAAGTCTGGTATTTTTAGTAAAACTGGGTCACACTCCAAGGTCAAACTCAAGAGGACAAATTTGGTGATACCCAAAGAAAGGTCTAGTCAAAAGGAGTACACCTGTAAAATATCTATATTGGCTGGGGATATGGCTTTTATATTTCACAGGTGTATTCTTTGTTTGGAGACCTTTCTCCAAATTTTACATCTTGGCCTTGACCTTGGAGTTTGACCCAAATTTACCAAAAATTACCATACTTTAACCTTGACATAACTTTAGAACAGTTTGAGCTAGGCTTTCATACTTCACATGTGTATTAATTTTGACAAGACCTTTCAGATGGTATAAATACTTTTGACCTTAACCTTGGAGTTTGACCCACTTTGTAAACACTTTTAAACTGGGCCAGAATCTTTAATTATTGGGGCATGTTCAAAAGTTATGACCAAGGTTTAAGTATGGTATTAATTTGTAAAAGTGGTCGAAACTCCAAGGTCAAGAGGTCAAATTTGGTTGAATCCAAGGAAAGGTCTTGTCACAAAGGAATACACCTGTGAAATATGAAAGCCATGACCCCATCCATTCGAAGGTTTATATGGGCAAGGATAAAGTTTTTGCAGACAAACAGAGAGACAGATGGACAGACGGGGCAAAAACTATATACCACCAAGTCTTCAATAATGGGGTCAAAAAAACCATGGAATTATGGTTATTATCTCCTTGTGTCTGATGTAAATGCATACAATTATACATTGTAGGGGAAAAAAGAATAAACCACTGAAAAAGTATCCAGTGTATTTAAGATTTTTTTCCAAGCTATAGGAAACTTGTCACATCTATAGAATCTGAAATTGTTGTAAGCCAATAATCTTTAGCTTAGAAAAGTTAGTTTTACACACTGTGAACATACATGTACTATGCCACTGACGGGAGAATTCAGAATGAGGCATTGTTATAAGACAAGAGTTATCTCTCTTTTAGCACAACTGTGTCTTCCTGAGCAAACAATATGCTACAGTAAAAAAAAGCTGCTTTTTCTTCTCTTAAATCAAATAACAATGACATTTTCATTGCAAAAAATGCAACAAGCTGAAAAATTGATGTTCATATCAGTTTTTTCTCAATGAGTTGAAGAGTTACCACAGACAGCTATTTTTTCTATATGCATACATATTTTCCAAAGATTTTAAACAATACTGGGTACAAATAAAATTGAATCTGCAAATTAAAAAAACTACCATAGTTTAAATTTTTAATTCACATCGACTTGTTGGCAAAATCATATACATCAAGTTCATGCATGTACTTTCACAATAAAGGAAATGCACAACTCATTGACCTTGCACAAAATCGGACATAAAAATTACATCACATTCAATGTTTACATGAGTCTGAGTTTTTCCAATAATCCGGATCTAACAGAATACATCACACAGTTGACTGACACAAGTGAATGCTTCCTGGGGGATGGATTGTGGTCAGATGGCTGCGGTCAGCAACCACAGCTGTTCAGGAAATACTTGGAGATTTGACAGGCACTTGTATCGCTAGAAAGTGTTCACACAAATAGTGTCAAAAACCAGAAATACATGCAGCCAGAGATGCACGAAGAGTTCTGAATCAGTAAAATATGCTGGAAGAGATTTGAAGCAACAATATTGTTTTTACATACTTTTTTCAGGCCTTAAGGTTAGATGTGCATTGCCTCGAGATCAAGAAAGACTAAATACCTAGATTTTTTTGCACATTTTTCAAGACACTGACTGTGTTTCAAGGTGAAATTTGTTTTCTTACATGATATTTTGTTACCTGAATATTGATGTAAGAAATGTTTAAAAGCCCAAAACTTCAAATCTTTTAGAATATTGAAAAGTTATTCTCATGAATTAAAATTCCTGAAGAAAAAGTTAGTAATTGTCTATTAGAGATACGTTGACATTCTTGAGTGAAGTAAGGGTCAAGTAATGGGAGTTCGTGTCAAGCAGAATGGTCCATTTCCTGTCCATTTTAGTACGGGTCACAGCTTATGATCACTTTTCTTTATCAATTATTTGCAAAAAATCCAAAATCCTTTCTTCTCTCTAGCAAACAAATTTATTTTTTCCTTCAAGTTTAAGCATTAATTTAAAAGCACAATACTTCACCAAGAAAGATAACTCTTCTTGCCTTCAGTGCTAATGAGAGACAACTCTGTCCAGTTAAAGCAAGTGATTCATTACATGCCTACAGATGCTACTCCTTAATAAGAACAACAACAAAAAAAGGAAATAAAATGCTTAAACAGTTTATCAAGGACAGTATCAATACAATAAAACCTCTGAGTGATGGATGACTTCTTACAAAGAACTCCGAGGGGTCAACTTAGTGCAGGTTCTGAATGAAGTAAACTAGTACAAGATGAAACAAAGTTAAGAACCTGAGAACCACATAAAGAAACCTTTTTTCTGAAGGTATTTTAATCCCTATTTAACATAAAAATTATCATTAAATCACCTAAACATGCAATATCTAAATTGGCAATGTCAAAGTTCAACGTTCAAAAAAAATTCTGTTTATAAGAAATGGGGTGAATAAGATGTGATACATAGGACAAGTTATGAAATACAACATGTATATGAATAGGCCAACTAGCAGGCAATTAGCTGCATTTCCCTATCATTTTGTTGTCCTAAATGTATGACATAAATGTAAGACATTCGTCAATATAAAAACAATAGTATTTTATTGTGCGGTTAAATCTAAACTGTGACCGCTCTATTTCCCTATATCCGGATTCATCTTAAGAGCCATCAGGGACCACAAAACCGATAATCTTACTATATCATCTCTTGTCCAGACGAGAGATTTAATTATCAGCATAACACATTAACAAACAGGGTATGAATACAGTGGCGATGCTCGGTGTCACTTCGGAAAATCGAGGGCTTGATAAGGCACAATCGGATGCTCTATAATAGGAGACTTCCCCCTAGAACTTAACATGACAATGTAAGTGTTGTAGCCCCATAGACAAAATTCACAGTGACATGGCACACTTTCCACTTAACACTGAATTTTTTTTTTTAAGAATGTTTCATCTATTACACATTTTATTTTCTTCTGACTCCCCTATCCTTCAATGCATAAAACTTATTGTTCAAGCTTTTGTGACTTTTTAAATCCAATGAGCAATAATTCACTCATATGGAAATATGAGATGGTATAGTGGTATATTTGGTAAAAACACAAAAAATATTTTCTCCAAATTGATTCTGACCACAAATTACCGCCTCTTCTTACAAACAAATTCTTTGTACTTTATGCACATTTTCCACTAAGGCCGTACAAGTCGATAGTATTACCCATATGAAACCAAAGTAAACCAAGTTTTATACTTGTACCTCCCTAAATATCTATATCCGCATGCAACCCCAAGTGGTAAAGATCCTTAAGTTCAATATTTGATGTAATTTTAACCAATGAAAAATGCGAAAAGAATTTTCCTCTTCTTCTTAAAAGGGGCACTCCTTTGTGGTTAGGAATTCCTCCTAACCCAGTACATGTGCAATAAGTATGAAGTAAGTAAGTAAAAAAAAAAGAAGAGTTCCACAGAAAAACCCATGTGACCTGCATGCAGTCGTACGGTAAAATCATACAGTTTGTGAATTTGGCAGCGAAAAATAAACTTGAAATTCTGCGTTATATAACAGGAGACGGAAAAGAAAGGGAATAAAACCAGTATTTTGAGGTTAAACCACAGTATTTTTTTTTTGGTATTTTGTGCAGTAAAATTGTGCGACTATTCAGAAATGCAAGATCTTATGTAAAATGGTGTAAGATGAACCATAACTTTGTCTGGACACATATTCGTCAAAACAATACATAAATGTGAAAAACGTAAAAACTATGGAGGAAAAGAACTAGCTGTTAACGGATTTGTCTTACTCAATTTTTTAAGGAGAGTTGTTTAAAAAAGCAGTGGAAAATACACACATTTGGTAAAATGTCTTATTAGTATACAGAGGGAGTACCAATATTAAGTGAGGCTTTGGAAATAATTAATTCATGAATGAAAATTTCATTGACGGTAAGTAAAACATTTTTCCCTTTGACTTTATTTTTGTGGTTAAAAAAAAAATCTCTACTCTTTCGTATTACTGCAAAGTAATACATTTCAAGATTATTTTCATTGATTTTTTTTTTCAAATTAAATTGCTGAAATAAATATATATTACAATGTATCAAATACAGAAATATGACACGTGCTACTCAAATTTATTGGAATTAAGTCACCCCACTCCTTCATTTGTGACTAAAACTTGATTATATACATCAATAGTTATTAAAAGTTTTATAAATACCATGTTATATTACAAAAATATCCTTTCGCACATTTTTGGTCATGCTTTTCAACAAAATAAAAAACCAACCAAACAAACAAACAAACAAAAAACCAAACACATAATGCATAGAAAATAGAAGCCTTTTTTTTCCAATCATTTTGCTGCTAAATAAATGATGGAAAACCGTAATTTAGTCAAAATCTAGATCTTTAATTCATTTGAGAGTATAGTTTCAGTTACTTGAAATATTAAATTGTATTTTTATGAAATTTATGATCAAAATTATTGATCAATTCATGATGTTTTATAAAAGAAAAAAAAAAAAAAACTGATGCAAAACAGATATATTACTATAATTCAAATAATTGCAAATATTTTGATATACATATTCACTTTAACTTTGTATAGATCTCACAGTATTAAATGAAATATTAAGCACAAATATATGTAAAAATATAACAACAAAAAGTTGTACAGTTATATAGATTTAATATTTTTATTCAGCAATTTTATCAATCTATTTATATAATATGATCATTATAGATCGATTGAATTTGAATTACTTTTTTAACAGAACCTGCATTATACGCAGTCAACTTTTTTCTTTCTTTTTTTAAACTGAATTAGTCAATTAAATTTTTGCAAAAAATTTGAAAAATATTTTTAACTGAATTAAAATTTAAAAAGAAAATTGTTCATTGAATCAATAGAGCAATGGAAGGGCAAAAAAGCTTCGGTTTCATATTTTTTTTAATCAACTGCAACCAAAGGAAATTTCTCAATGTCTCTAACTTAAAAACATTGCAAAGATTAAAATGTCCAATGACTTTGGTGACATTAAACAAAACCATTAATAAATAAGCCCCATAAATTTTAATTCAATATGTACTTTAGATGTTTCCTTGATATTAACTGATTTAGAGGAAATACCACTATTCATCACATTAATTGTTAAAAATCAATCTTTCTGCACTGGAAAAATCGTCTCAAACACAGAAATATTTTTGTCTGCATTTTGCCCATGGAAAGACTTAAATTTATCAGAACCCAAGAAAATTTAATGCTTAATTTTTTCAAGAGCAGAAATGACAGAAAATATCGTGACATTGCCCACAGATCAGGTGGAAATTTGTGGGTGTTTTTTTCCTTCATCTGCCAGTTACACAAAGATAATCATTTTCAGCTTCATCGATCATCATCATAAATAAACACAAAACCATAAAAAATATATTTCCTTATTATTTACCGTGCAAGACAAAAAAAGATCAATTATTGATATGCACAGCTACATTGGGGATATGAACAGGGACCTAGCAGCAATATCCATCTGTGTGAACTCGTGCTTTTCTAATTACATCATGAAATTTCACAATTTATGAAATATTAAACACCTGAAAAGGATGAAATTAATCAATTTTTTTCCGGAGCAAGTCAGGAGCTTTTAATTACCTTTATGTATTGTCAGCATGCATGCACAAAGTTCAGTACTAAATGTACTTTTATAAGTCAACAAGTCTTGACAGAGGATACAAAATCCAGTGAATTTTTAACAAGTATGATTAATATTTTTTTATTTTGGAGAAAAAAATAATGAAAAATCAACTTGTGTGTTATTTCTGAGATTAAACTTTTTTTCAAATTGATTAATCAAATTAAAGTTTTAGCACTTTTCAAAATTCCATTTCATCTACAATTTCAAAGATATTTAGCTGGGAAATTAGAATATTCTGCAATTCTGACTGGCGTTTTTGACTGAAAAAAAAAAAATCGAACAAAAAATATGACAACCTCGATCTGCAATCATTACCCCGACTTTGCTGATTGAGAAGAAAATGTTAAAATCATATTTCTTATAGCTGATGTACTTTGATTGAATATTTATAATTCATTTTAACTGTCTTTATATATGAAAAAATGAAATTCATAAATTTTAAGGTACTTTACCTATAGGATGTTAGGTTAAACCATTACTGGGAAATATCTTACATACTGATTTAAGCAGAAGACACACAAAGATAATAAATTGAAATGCTGTGGACCAATCCTTTAAAAAACATTTAAAGTTGTTTGGTTTTTTTTTTTATATTGATTTAACCTTTCATGGAGCACACCTTTACTGGTCTCAAGACATTTCAAATCTCCTAGCTACTAGCTGTAAACACTTTTTTTCTATTAGCTCAGGCATCATGCATTAGCTAAGCTAGTGTACCAGTATTTTTATGACATATTTTAATTTGTCTCATTAGTTTTTATTCCAGTATTTTTCAGATTTTTCTTGAGGTCATAAATGGAGTCAAAACATTTATTCCACTCCACCCAATAAAAAGTGTTCTGTTGAGCAAAATAAAAAAAAACATTTTTTTTTTTTAAAACTAACACACAACATTATGAACTTTATTCTTGGACATCAATTCAATACTTTGATACAGTGTTTAATATATACTGCTTAATTAAATTTGGTAATTTTTTCATAACTCCCCAATATTACATGCAAAATTTTAATACTGCTTCAAAATAGAGAGAGAGAAGAGAGGACCAACTCAGCCCATTTTGAGGCCTTAAAAGCCATTTTTTTTAATCCCTTTTAAAGACTTTTACATAGGTAAAACACATATTGTGTGTAAATTTGAAAACTGGCTTTTTTATTAATATTAACAAAAATGTAATCATGGAATTTCCACTGCATGGTTTCTGAACTTTGAATTCCTGAACCTTATGTTGGATGCTACGCTCTTGAAATCATGCAGGAAATATAACCCCTGATATCCAGGTTAGTTATAAATACACTGATAGAAATTTGAAATTTGCTCATATATAATATTGTATGTAGTTTTACATTCCATTCATGAATTTTTCACTCATATAGAGAAATTATACATACCATATAGTGGTGAAAGACTTCAAATATTGACCTTTACTGGCACACTTCGCCACTGAGCAGCAAAGGGCTCTTTATTGTGCCAATGCCTAACTAACACAGGGGCTCAGCTTTAAAAGTCTCATACTCAAATGTCACAGTGCAGCGCCCTTGGCATAGTGACAGTTGCTACACTTTTTTACTAACTAAGGTCAGTCGCAGCCATGATTTGAACATACGACCTTCCAATCACAGATAGAGCTCTCTACCAGCTAAGCTACCATGACAGCATAATGGTTTGAAACAAATTTAAAAACAATATTATAGTTTCAAGTTACCATAAATAGAGTACTGTGAGAACTTTTATTCATTGTTATGAGGTATTAGTAACATATCCTTCATTTTTTTGCAGTTTGTTGATATTAAAATTTACAATGAAATTTCTTGGTGTATATAGACTTAACTATTTCTAATCCAATTTGAGACCAAAATAATATAATAAAGCCCTTTCTTGCATTAAAAAAATATTTATATTCACTGCTCTTATAATAATTTGGAGATACAGACGACCCCGATAAAAGTCAGGAAAAGTAGAGAATTCTTAATCTTTCCTAATAATCTCAGAGCTGCTAAAACACATATCACTGACTCATATCCATATAATTCAACTGAAGACATATTCATCACCATACTGGGATTAACTACATCAGCAGAAAAACATCTGTACCACACTGGGGTAGAACAAGGCAGACATGTATAGACTCTAGTCACTGTAACCACTATATATCACAGACAAATACATAAATGATACTCAAAAGCATTGTATTAACCTATTTTTTAACAAACAAAACATTTTTTCCCACAATTCGGGGATGCCACAATTATTGTCTTGACCCAACATTATGGTTGTTCCCTTTGCTTTGCCCCTGTCTGGCATCGGAGCTGAAAATCTGCAGTCTTCTGTGGTTTCAGCTGCCACTCTGCTTGTCAAGTTCTCTTGGCAAAAAAATTGGATTATGCCAACATTACTCTTAAGACTTAATACCACAGAAGTCTTAATCCTAGATTCCTCCAATTCTGTCCTGAAATTGAGTTTGTTTGATCTTGGCTTCTAACATTTTCTTTTTCTTGTTTTTTATAATTTAACCTCTTAAAATATTTTTTGTCAAATTCTTCCATTTAATGTTTTATGACCTTAAATCATGTTCTATTTTAAAATAAATTTAAAATGTCTGATTACTTTTAGGCATTTAAATAGAAATCTTAATGTTAGAAAAAAATTATATCAGAAACAGGATCTAAGTAGGGTCAAGCCTGACTAATCCCGATGGTTGTGTTAAGTAAATGGACTGGATCAATAATAATAAATATAACTAGATATGAAACTCGTTGCAAGCAATGAGAGGTCTTCCGTCCGATTCCGGAAAGAAGACGTAAAATCGAGCTGAAAAGTAAAAAAAAGATTTGCACACAAGGGGGATTGAACCCAAGTCGGTAGCATGAAATTCCAACGCACTAAATATTACGCTATCGGGACCTCTACTCTAAATCTACTTGTGTACATGTATATTAACGAATATGCTTCTCTCTTAAAATTATGAAAGGCAGGTCACTATTCAAAATTTAGCGCCAAACGCCACGAATTTTTCTTTGTAATGTTCTATTAAATAGGTGAGATAGCTTCAATGTAATTTAAAAAAGGACGTTCTTATAGCCTAAGATTCAAGATTTAGAAAGTATATTTAACACATTTTAAAAATTCCATATTGTATATATGCATGTAACACTAAAGCGGTGAAACGATTATGAATTTTTTTTCAATTTCCAATTTATCCCCAAATGGAACTATCCCGATTTGTAAATCGAAAAAGGTTGAAACGTTTCGCC